TAATTCCAAAACCAGATAAGGACACTACGTTTGAGTGTCCTTTACCCTGAGTGTGATGGAGCCAGGAGAGGTCTCTGAGCAGGGTTGGGGCCAGGAGTGGGAGCTCAGGGATGAGGCTGCTGCCATGGTCCAGGTAGGAGGGGTGGACACGACCAGTGGGGACAGTGGACAAAGTGAAAAATGGTCAGATTCAGCATATACTTGATGACCTGAAAGAAGAAAAAGAGAGAACGCCACCTGCCTGACAACTTTGAGCTGGGCCATCAGTCTTGTAGTCTTTACACTAGAACTGAAACGTTGCCTTCTTTGATCTTAAGCCTCCTGGCTTTGGACTGGTACATACACCATGGGATCCCCTGGTTCTCAGGCCTTTGGATTTAGACTGGAACTACACATTGGCTCTCCTGGTCTCCAGCTTGCTAACTGAAGGTCTTGGGACTTAGTCTCCACAATTGTGTGAGCCAATTCATCATAATCTCTCTCTCTCTCTCTCTCTCTCTCTCTCTCTCTCTCTCTCTCTCTCCCCCCCCCTCATAGATAGGTAAATAGATATAGATATATCTCCTCTTGGTTCTGTTTCTCTGGAGAAACTTGACTAATACAGGGAGGCAGAGAAATGAGATAGTAGCTGGAGGGGGATGTGGAGATGAGATATAATTTCTTTAACAGAAATTATAAAAATACACAGAGGAAAACTGATGATGCAGGTTAAGGGGGATAAATTGTAAAGGGTGCTGTTGAGTGAAGAAGGGGTGGGATCCAGGGTCCAAGTGGAGGAGTTTGACTTAGAAAGAAGAATGTCTGCCCAGCCAGCATGGCTCAGTGGTTTAGCATCAACCTATGAACCAGGAGGTCATAGTTCAATTCTCTGTCAGGTCATATGCCTGGGTTGCAGGCTCTATCCCCAGTGTGAGGTGTGTAGGAGGCAGCCGATCAATGATTCTCTCTCATCATTGATGTTTCTGTGTGTCTCTCTCCCTTCTTCTCTGAAATCAATAACATTATTTTATTTTATTTTATTTTTTTAAATATATTTTTTATTTATATTATGTGATGGTCATTCATTTTTTCAGTAAATATTGAGTGAGTATCTACCATGTGCCAGGCACTGTTTTGGGTGCTGGGAACATAGAAGTGACAGACAAGAATCCCTGTCCTGATGGAGGAGAGAGAGAGAGAGAGAGAGAGAGAGAGAGAGAGAGAGAGAGAGAGAGAGAGAGAGGAGAAAGAGAGAGAGAAAGAAAGGAGGGAGAGATAACAAACAACAACATAATCAATAAGCAAATTTGATATAGAAGGTGATATGTACTATGGGGGGAAAGTAGAGCAGAGTAAGGGATATGAGGACACCCAGGGGGTTGCAATTTTTAATGGGATGTTAGTATGGGCTAAGTTTTCTAGGGGTCTTCTGGGGAATATTTTCCTCAGTGGAAAAAAAACACATGGTAAGATGCTGTCACTTTTCTTTCTCTGGACATTGCCAAGAGGATGTCATGTCTGGAACTCTGGTAGCCACCTTGTGACCATGAGGAGATCTAACTTGAGGAGGAGACTGAAATGCTGAGAATGGCCAGGTTGAAAAATGGGAAGAATCTGGATTATTGATAGCATTAATGTGATTTCCTAAATTAGACAACTTCTGATCTATCTCACCCTTAGGCTTCTTGTTGAGATAATAAATTCCTGGTTTAAGCAAGTTGAGTTGGGATTTTCCATTATTTAAGGAAAAAATCCCTGATAAACATATTTCATACACAGTAGGATAGTTCTATTTGTTTTAAAACCATATGTGATGTGACAACATTTCATTTTTCAAAAATCTACAAGTGCTGGAATTAGCAGGCATCCACCAAAGTCCCAGGGGTGGAAGAAACCACCCTGCTCTAGTCTAGCAGACAATGATGTTCAAGACCATGGAGGGCATCCCACTGGTGCGGCCTTCTCTGCCCTGCAGACTAGCTCTTTTCTTGGGGGTTTCCACTAGCTAGTCCCTATATACAAATCATTATTCAGAGGATGGCAAAGAACGCTTTAAGGTCAGAGTCTTTGTTGCTATTGGCTTATTAGGTGGTCCAATTTGGATCTGAACTTGAGTTGGTTTGTATGAACAATAATGAAGCTAATTTGTCCTTGTCTTTAAAAGCAGAGTTGAAGATATGAATTTAGGATGTGTTCAACTACCTTATCTTTCTAGATATCTTCTTTCCTTCAGAAGTGAGGAATCCAAATCTTTGCTCTGTTGACCTCAGGCTTGGTTATGTCACTTGCTTAGGCCAATGAAATGGGGGTGGGAGGTCAGGTAGTGCATATAATTTCTTAGCAGAGTAAGGGCCAGCGAACAGTCCACTGTGTGCTCTTATTTCTACTCTAAGACCAGAAATATCCAAGAGCTGCACCTTCATCTTGGATCTCATGAGGAGCTGAGACTCGGCCTACCCAAGATGGTCATTGCATGATTGAGCAATAGCCCTTTGTTGTTATAAGCCACTGAAATTTAAGGGCCATTTGTTACTATAGCATAATCCAATGTAAGTGGACTGACACAAGGGTAATCATCGAGAAGGTGGCTGGTCTCCAGGTCCAGGTTATCCCCAGGGAGTCTGAGATGACCCCAGAGAGAAGTAAACAGGGAAGAGAAACAAGAGTTCAGGACAGAACCCTGAGAAGCTCCAGTACTTAAGGGGTGGGAAGAAGAAAGAACCAGAAAATGTGACTGAGAAGCAGCAGCTAGAAGTTAAAGAAAGAAAAGAGTGTGATATCACATAAATCAACGTGAGAGGCAGCTACAAGACGGAGTTGATGAGGAATGGGTTAGATGCTGCTGAGAGGCCTCCTGGGGTAAGAACTGGAAAGGCGGTCACAGGATTTAGCTATGAAGAGATTGTTGGTATTGAGTGGAGCTCTAGGAGCAGAAACCAGCTGCCAGGGCTGTGGAGACTGGAGTGGGTAAGGAAGTGGAGCCAGTGGAAAGGAGAGATGGAGAAGTAGTAGCAGGAGAAAAGAGTATGGATTAAGAAAGGGATGGTATAAAGGGGGAGACTGCTAATGGGCAGGTACTTGTAGAAAGGAAGTTTTGACAAATAGAGAGTAAGAGAGGGGTAATTTATGGAGGGATGACATAATAGGGACCATGGTCAGGCACTGGCCCTAGTTAGGAGAAAGGCAGCTCATCCACGCTGACAGGGGAGCAAGGGCAGGGTGGGCACAGGTAGGAGAGCAGTGTAGATGGTGAGGAATCTCTGCCTGGCAGCTTGTGTGAGGGAGAGGACAAAGTAATTTCTTTGGAGACAGAGAGGATGTAGTGGTGAAGTGGATATGAGGAAGCAGAGCAGATTTGGAAGACCTGCAGTGAAACTTTCAAAAAACAGAGGTTTGAAGAAATAGTGATGTCACCGATGAGGTTAGGCAGAAGTGCCTGGTTCCCTGAAATGCAGCCCCGGTTTTCCATCTTCTCATCCCCTTCTATGGATACTGAATATGTGGACACCTTGCTACTTCATACCAATCACAGCCCCAGGTAATGGTTGAGGCAGAACAACCTATGCAGCCAGAATTCTTCAACTTCAAGGGAAAGTTGCCTTTCATTTCCAGGTGTATCACTAATAATGTTTTTGGCTGCAAATAACAGAAAGTCCTAACGCTACTAGCTTAAAATTAGGGTAAATTTATTATCTCACACAAAAATAAGCAATGAACACAGACACAAAGATCTTTAACAAAATATTAACACATAGAACTCAGCAATAAATAAAAGAAGTATACACCATGTCCAAATGGACTTCATTCCAAAATGCAATGCTGATTTAATATTTGAAAACTAATCAATATAGTCCACCAACACAGACTAAAGAAGAAAAGTCACATTATTATAACAATGCAGAAAATGCATTTGTTCCTCAAATTGATAAAAAGAAGCATCTCCAAAAACCTACAATTAACATTACACTAAGTGATGAAAATAAATACTTTTTTCCTAAGATCAGGAAGAAGGCAAAGATGTCCTCTCTCAACATTCTTACTCAACATAGTACTGCAGTTCTACCCAGTGTGATAAGGCAAGAAAAGGAAATAAAAGGCATATAGTTTGGGAAAAAATAAATAAAACTGTAGATGACACAATTATCAGTGTAGAACAATGTCCACAATGGAACTTAAATGACATTTTGGTGACAACTGTCTTTGTGACATTTCTCCCAGCAGATCTCCACCCTGACAATAGTCACCCCAGGTTTAGGGTCACAGGAGGTCTGGGTGAATGAACCATATCCTCTGAAATACAGATACTGACCTTAGGTTCATAATAAAGCTCTTGTCCTGCTGATCTGACATCTTATTACTTGGTGTAATGACTGTTTGTGATATTTAAGTCATTTGCAATGATATCTTTCATTACTTGTGGCTAAAAACATCCTTAGTGATCCTTTCACTCCTCATTCATTCCATCATATTCTCTCCCTTTTTCAATCCTCCACCTTTATTTTTTATTTTTTTATTGATTTCAGAGAAAAGGGGAATGGAGAGAGATAAATATCAATGATGAGAGAGAATCATTGATCAGCTGCCTCCTGCACGTCCCACACTGGTGATTGAGCCCGAAACCCAGGCATGTGCCCTGACCGGGAATTGAACTGTGACCTCCTGGTTCATAGGTTGACACTCAACCACTGAGCCACTCCAGCTGGGCTTCCCCTCCTATCTTGTTCCCACCCTCCCTGATGCCTGTTCACTCCCTGTCTTCCTCCTCCCACACTCATACACACGCACTCAGAGGGCCACAGCCACATATGCAGCCATGCACTCATTCATACAGTCACATATAAACAGGGTCAATGTCATAGACAGGTTGTTTATTTTCATACATTGTATAGAAAGTGCAAAAATAAACATCTTTGGGGGCTTCATAAATAAATAAGCATCTGGAGGCAATAATCTAAGGGAGGTAATCGGTGCATAAATAAAATCTAAGATGCTGGGACAGGTTGCAGGTGTGTCTCTCAGGGTCAGACACACAGGTCTCCATCGGAGACATATTTCAGGTCATGAGTGAGGTGGTGGAAGAGATTGAAAGTGACAGAGGCTTTGAGGTAGCCATGGGACTCCTATGAGGAGGAAGGGACAGGTCAATGGCTCGCATGTCTGTACTCCCAGCTGCCCCCAGACATTGATTTCTCTTCCCCAGTCACTCACCTTCTTCCCGGCCTCCTGGAGGCAGTGCTGCCATTGGCAGAGGTGGCCCCGGGCCTGGGGCCTGCTGTGGACTGAGCTGGGACCTGTGGGTGAAGGAGGGTGGTTTGTAAAGAGGATCTCAGACAGAGGGGGACATACGAGTGGTCAGAGCCCACAGACGTGGCCTGGGAGCCCAGAGCACTCACACAGGCCTGAAGCTTGGAGTGGATGTGGCGCAGCGTGCGAAGGGGCTGGTCCAGGATGTCACCCAGGGTCGAGTTCTTCAAGGTCCCCAGGACCTTCAGTGTCAGGGCCAGCTCAGCCTCCAAGGCCACAGGGCGCTCCCACACCTGAGCAGGGGAGACAGACAGGTGAGAGAGAACAGGTGAGGAGGGCTGAGGAAGGAACAGGTGAGGGCAGGAGACAGGAGAGAGGGAAGGTCAATGTGAGCAGGGGAGGAGAAGAGGTCAGGGGGACTGCTGGGGAGGGCAAAGACACAGAGAAAAGTGAGAAGGAGAAGGTGAAGGGGCCACCTAAGAAGCCAGAGGAGCGGGGCCAGGTGAGGGCAGGGCTGGGCCTGAGTCTCCCAACTCACCTGCAGCTGCCTCAGGTCCCGGGTCCTGGGGAGTGGGCGGGAGCTGCAGCTCCGGTTCTTCAGCAGAAGGGACTCTTCCTGGAGAGCAAAGGGCAGAGGTCAGCCCACAGCTGGAGGGTCAGTGGGGAGCTCCTGAAGGTGTTCTCTTCCTGGAGAGCAAAGGCAGAGGTCAGCCCACAGCCGGAGGGTCAGTGGGGAGCTCCTGAAGGTGTCCTTCATCCTCCTAAGGCCCCTCACCGGCTTCGTTCCTGGCTCCTGAGCGTCCACCGTGAGGGCTCAGTCTTGTCCGGATCTCTGGCCTCAGTCTCCCGATGCTCTGACCCCAACTGTGTCTAGGATATAATTGTTGTCTCAGCTCCACATTGCCACAGACAGGAGGTCTGGGGCTGAGGTTGGCACGGAGCCAAGGGCAGACGCGGGCTGGGAGACCAGGAGCAGGGCGGGACCAGGGGAGCCTGGGATAGGGAAACTGAGGAGGAGGGTGACCTCCTGAGTGGGACAATCCTCAGGGTGGGCAGATCCAGCCCCACAAGAAGAGGTCATAGGTTCCCAAATGAGGAGGCGGTGGGGCAGGAGGGCTCATCTCTCTGCAGGTTGCTGAAATGTGGAGGGCGGGGTGGGGGATACCCAGGAAGCATTTCCATGAAGGGGCTCGAGGCTCCCAGAGGGAAGCTGCTTAGGGGAGGGGAAACAACAGGAGGTGAGGGCCTCTGTTGGGAAGAGAACGTCAGTCAGGCTGAGCCAGCAGAGTATGAAGAAAAGGACAGATCTCCTTACCCCTCCCCACCTGCCACCAATAGGAATGGAGGGTCTGCTCAGGATTTCAGGCACAGCCAAGGTCTTCAACCAACTAATTGTGACCAACCCATCCCTTTGTTTGTCTGTTCAGTCAATCATTGATTCAAGAATGTAATTATTGAGCAACTACTATAGGCCAACACTCTTCTAGGCACCAAGAATCCAGCAGTGAACAAAACCCCAAATCGTTCCTGCCCTTCATGGAGCTGACATTCCAGTGGGTGGGTCAGACAATAACAAAATGATAAACTAAAGATATATGATGTCAGCTAATAAGAAGTGCTTTGGAGAAAACTTAAGCTGGAGATGGAGTCAGGTATGCAGAGAAGGGGTTTCATTCTATAAGACAGTTGGGGAGGTGGCATCTGATTGAAGACCTAAAGGAGGGAGGGAGGGAACCTGGGGACAGCTGGGGGAACAGCACCCCAGGCAGTGGGAACAGCCAGGGCAAAGTGAGTACAATGAAGAGATTCTCTCACTGGCACCTCTCTGTCCTGCAGTGAATTCTCACACCTCTGAGGTAGGTACCGTTCTCTCTCCCACCTTGAAAGTGAGAAAGCTGCTGCTCAGAGAGATCAAGAGATTTGCCAGGTTTACACAGCAGATGCATGCCAAGGGCAGACAGCCCTAACCCCGGTACCTCCTGTCTCAGAGGTTTATTGAGGAAATTTGGCTGTACTCTCCATCACCTGACTCCTCCCACCTGGAGAGTCCCTTGAGTACTATGTATTGCCTTGTCCACCCAATCCCTCTCATCCTTCCTTGCTCAGAACTAGAAATGGAGGCTGAAATGGGCCACCAAATATAAGATGACATTTCCTGCATCCTCTACACTGGGTGTGGCCATGTGACTGCAACCTCACCAGGAACTGGACCTTCAAACCTGGGGCGGGCAGCCCTGCTCCTTTCCCCTTCCCATTACCTGGAACCTGGCACGGCTGAGAGCCAGACTCCGCGGTGCAGATGAGGACAGTGCTCATGGCAGGGGTTCTAACCTGGCATGAGAATTTGGGTGGGCCTGTGAACTTGGAAGGGTAGAAAAAAACCTTTATTTTCACTAACCTCTATCCAAAATTTGACATTTCCTTCCTGCAGTAGATTCTTATGGCCTCTGTAACAAATTACCACAAATTTATTGACTTAAAACAACACAAATTTTCCATCAGCTGATGACTGGATAAACAAAATGTGAAATATCCAAACAATGGAAAATTATTCACCTTTAAAAAAAAGAAAGAAATTCTAACACATGCTACAACATAAATGAATCTTAGGACATTATGCTAAGTGAAATAAGTCTATCACAAAAAAGAAAAAAAACCCTATGATTCTACTTATCTGAGGTACTTAGAGTAGGCAAATTCATAGAGACATGGTTGCTAGTGGCTGGGGGAGGGGGCACAGGCAATTGCTGTTTAATGGGTACTAAGTTTCATTCTTATAAATGAAAATGTTCTGGAGATTGGATGTCCAAGAAAATATACTTAACACTACTAAACTGTACACTCAGAAATGACTAAAATGGTAAAATAAAAATGAAACATCACCGAATGAAAAGAACAAAATGAAAATGCTCCACAGACTTATACTCTACAGTTTTGGAGATCAGAATCCTAAAACCACGGTGTTGGCAGGGCTGGTTTCTTCTGGAGATTTCAGAGCAGAATCCATTTCCTTGCCATTTTCAGCTCCTAGAAGTCACCTGCCTTCCTTGGCTTGTGTCCTTCTTCACATCACTCCCATCTCCAATCTCTTGCTTCCAGTGTCCCTCCCCCCACCACCCATCCCTCTTGCCTCCCCCTTGTAAGGAACCCTGTGAATCCTTTGGCTCTACCTGGACAACCCAGGAAAACCTTCCCATCTCAAGACCCTTAGTCACATTCACAGTCTCTTTTACCACATAAGGGGCCATATTCACAGGTTCCGGGGATTAGGAGCATCTTTGGGGAGCCATTGTTCGGTTTACCACACGTCTGCTACAAATGTAGGCAACAAACCTCAATTGTGTTAGCAGAACTTAGGACTTTGTCATGGGAAGAAATCACAGACATTTTCATACAGGGCTATTTTCTAGCAGGCATCATAAAACATCATTTATACTCATCTCCACTGGTAAGTTACCGTAGCCATTAAAGCTGCCATGAGTTACTTTTTATTTAACACATTAATGTAGAAGCACATAACTTACTACACCACATTTGAAAATACTTTGATGACTGCCTTGTAGTGAACATTGGATCCCTTTGCCCTGTGTATTTTCTTTTCTTCTGAGAAGCTTTGCCAAGCTGGCATGAGGTCCAGAGCATGAAAATGCTTAAGAACACCTGCCCCAGGGGATTGTGGAACAAAACACTGGGTCCCTGGCTGACTGAGTAGGGCCATCCTGCCAACTGAGCCACTCCCCTTAAGGCTCCAACTGAGCCACTCCCCTTAGGGCTATGAGGAGGTAGAGAATTACACGTGTGGTTTTAACTCACTGATCGTGAGGGTCTCTTTGTTACAGCAGCGCAGCCTTGGTGGGAACTCTACTCAGCACAGATTGATTAGTTTGAGTGGTTTTCCCTTTCAGGGGCAGATCCAGGATTAGTGGGGCTTGAAGCTTGCACAATTTAGGGACTAATTTTAAGCAATGGAATTAAAGATATTTTGTTTCCAAAAATATATGACAATGTGAAGACACTGAGAGGGCCTCCTCTCAGACCTCACAAAGGCAAGACCCTGAAGCTTGAGCTGTGTAGTAGACACGTGATGCACCACCCTGACCCCCTGTTCAGGACCCGCACGCATGCCCCAGCTGCTAGGAATGCGGCTACTGATGGCTCTGGGCTCCACCCCTCATGGAGGAAGTGCTGTCAGCCCCAGGGAACATTAGTTCTGCTCCCACCATTGACCAAGGGAAATGCCTCAAAATTAGTCCTGCTCCCAGGGCACTTCCCTTGGCCAGTGGTTAGCTAACATACAGATATCAAAGCACAGGCCCCTCTGAAGGGCCATCCCAGCTGCGGAACTCACCATAGATGGGCTAACATCTCTGTTGCAACCACATTGCCCACACAATCCTGCCTTCCTCATGTTCTTTTTTTAAAATCTTTATTGTTCAGATTATTACAGATGTTCCTCTCTCCCTCCCCCCCATAGCTCCTCTCTACCTGGTTCCCACCCCACCCCAGGCCCTTGC